ATATATATATATATATATATATATATATATATATTCGTTTTTGCTACTCTTAAGTGGTTGGTAGAACATCGATGCAGAACGTTAAATTTAATACTTAGTTCTTATACGTATTTAACTTAAAAATCAGTTGCAAGATTTTAAGACTTTTATGTAATATATTTGACACTTATCAATTTTCCCTAGATATCGCTGAACACTGTCTTCAGGCGCCCGATAGAGGCAACGGGTCTGAGTTACATTTTGTTTTCTTCTTCAATAAGGATACCAAGAGGTGTAGTAAGTTTGTGTACACAGGGAAAGGCGGAAATTCCAACCGTTTTAATTCAATCTCCAAATGCTTACTCGGATGTTTGAAATTGTAGCTCCCGTGAAAGCCCCACCCCCCTTTTTTTTATTACTGATAAGGTAAGTCAAAAGGTTTTAACTCCATAAGAATGTCAGATGATTATAATATTGCAAACCATGTGTGATTCCTAATTTACTCTAAACATCTTGTTTGCGTAACCAATTGACTTTTTTTTTCACGTTAAACATACTTATCTAACACGTGAGGTTCCCATTTACTGTATAACCCATTTAGCATTTACATCTTAACATGTAAATTGTTTTTCGTAAAATACGAATCTCAAATTTTAAAAACCACTGATATAAAGTTAAAAAAAAATCCATTTAATGTAAGTTGGAGTATTTTTACATTTTTTTCTTCATAATCACCTGTATCATATACCTCTAAGAATAATTAGACCAATAGATTATATTTTTCTAATGTTTTACTTATTAATTCTAGCATTGTTGTAGAACTTTGTTATGAAAAAAAAGAACACATATCAATATTTGCAGAATGACAGTGTGTGTGCTTTTTTTTTTCTCTACAGGTATAGTTACTAAGTTCCCAGAAGTCTGGTACTATGCTTCTTTCCTACATATTTAACATTCTACTGGCTATTGACGAGCATCAAATGGAACGTTTTATTCTACCATTTTGAATAATTTGTCAGTTTCAGTGTAGTCTGTGAGATGAATGCAAATTAGTGGAAACTTAAATAATCAAAAAATAATCTAAAAGTTTTTTGACAGAGAAGTTCCTGTATCTTTTGTAAACAGAGATTCTGTAAATAAACCAGGAGTAACAAATACCATTAAGTGTCCTTTTTACACTGGTTAGTAGAAAAACAACGAACTTATTAATAAATCAAAGCTATTATTTTAAAGAGGTACTGTGAAATTTAAAATAAAAAAGCAGATTCTTTTTCTGTCCATCAGTTTTCTTAGAATTTTACAGCATTCCAAAAGAAACATATTATAAATGTAATACATACACTAATAATAAACAAATTTCAGTTGCCAAATTCAACATTTTCAGAATCAGAATGGCAACTTACTGCTAAATGGCCAAGTCAAAGATCCCAACAATTAGGTATAGCTATTACTAATTTTGAATTACTGACAAGAGGGAAGGTAGCCAGCCAGCAGATTACATCATAAAGGTTTGTTTGATTCTCTGAACTGAATGACAGAACTTACTGTCACTTTTATAATAAGCCTACAGTTGAAAGAGCAGTGTGATCAATAGCATCAGTCTTGAACCCTGGACCTTCAATCCACAGTCTGACACTAACCAATGGGCCTCATCTGGTCTATTAATTTTAAGAAACAAAAAAAAAGAAGAAAAAAAACCAAAAAACAGTCTCACCAGGTTCAGTCTACCTTACAAACACATTTTAATACTTCATACCCCATTAGAAATTTTTTTTTGAAAATAAAATTAAGAATTATTCTGTTGATACTACATCTTACTGCTATATTAAATAATGGGATTTTTTTCCCTTTGCTTTTAACATTTCATATTTCATCAACGTACCAAAATGAATATTTCAACTATGACTGATTAACAATATTGATGTTTTTTACATGAACTAATAATTAACTTATTATGCAGTCCGAGGCCATATTCACCTTCATATCCCCCTCAAGAAATGAATGTTTCTTGATGCCCTTTCTGAATATCCTAACGGAAGCAACAATGATGACTGATACTAATCTTAAATTGTTGAAGTAATTTACTACATGTTTAACAATTCATGGATTGTTTCTCTTTGGGTGATTATTTTATTGGAATATCTGGAATAATGATTTTTTAGACAACTTGTTACTTTTTTTCCAACATTAAAAACTTATTTTTAGTGTGTTTGTACCTTGTATCAGTTTATAAGGCTTTGGTCAATGATTATTTCTACAATACAATAATGAAATGCGGAATAGAGATTATTAACAACAACAACGAAAATTTTCATACTTCGATTAAATAAATTGGCCAAAAATGTCTTCTATAAACAGTAAGTCCTCTTCACGAACACAAGATCTTCATAATAGACAATGTTCGGACAAGAATGTTGCATCTGGTTATAATGAATTTGAAATTTAATATAAAAATACATGGTTGAGAAGTGTTTTACTGGATATGTTATCATTTGTTAAATTAGAATAGTTATTCACTAAAATCTTTTTTCTTTAATTAATGTAACACTTTCTTAATTAAATGGGTGTGGTCAGGTTGGAATGTTTAACTGAATATTCACAGGGTTGATCAATTCTCCACAGTATATGACAAGTCTTCAGTAAAATGTACAAATTTGTTGTACACAAAAAATCAGGTGTGTTACATAAGTATTGTACTTAAGATGTGTTGGTGAATTGATGAAGTCAGTTTGACATGAACTCTGACAAGTTGGAATAGAAGGTGATGTTCATGTGAAGAAAAAATACTTCTGTCTGTTGTACAGTTTGCATAACCTCTGAAATGCACATCAGTTTGTTCACTGTCCCTATATGTTGTATTTACTCCCCTTTACAACAAACTGTTGCTATTTCAGCAATGTCAGGTTAAAATGAATATTTGGTAACTGACATTAAATACATGCCATGTTGAATGGCACCTAGTGTTAATTGACATTTCTGTTGGACATGAAGAGTAAAACAATAGTTTCAGATAAAAAAAAAAGATTATAAAAGTAACTTGCTTATGTTGCTTGTTGTTCTTTTTATGACACCACCCACAGAGTACTTTAAAACAAAGGCTTGTAAACTCTCATTTACATTATACGATTTCATTGTAATTTGGGAATAAAAATTTCAAATCAAACTCAAAAGTGTTCTTGTTTGTACTTGTATATGTGAAAATACATATCTTTTTGTGCAAAAATCTATATAGCTGTTCAAAGGTTAAATAAAAGTTGTTGCTTATGAGCTAAAAAATTAAAGTCAAGAGCCCAAAATATATTTTGATTATTTGCAATGTGCCACAAAATTTTATTCAAATTATGGAATATACACTATACAAAGGCAATGTTAAAGTAGAGTACAAGCAGACCATTCTACAGTTATTGGACAATAACTTGTGCAAATATTCCAACAAAATAATAAAACTTGGCCTCAGGTTAGTCTAACAAAGCACTTTTCCTTCATATACAAACAGGCTTTCAGCTGTTATTTAACAAGATGAGATTAGTGTTAATGCAAGAGTTTGATAAAAGTTGAAAATAATAATGAAGATTTCTCAGCTTCTATGAGATGTCTCAATCTAGTAACCATATGATTGTATCTTGAACAAACACTTCCAGTCCAAAACATCTTGACGATGATTATTTTATGCTGGAGTGATTAAATACATTTTAAAAGTGTAGGATGGATTTTTGTGAAAGATACATGGTTATATATATACAATATGTAGCTTAAAATTACTGTTATGAAAGAATAAACATAGATGAAATATTTATTACTCACTACAATTACTCTCAATGCCAGGTTGAGTATTACCAGTTACTCAAACTAACTTCAATCCTGGAAACTATTTAGCAGTAATGTAATTTTCAATTCTGAATATTCTCAAAGTTGGATCACCTAAACTTATTGGTTTTAAAGTTCTGTGATATAAAAAAAAATGAAAGAGAAAGTTATTGTTAAAATAAATACATCATATTTCTGTACTAACTGAATAAAATCTTTAAAAAATTTCTTGTGCTTTAAAAATGATGTTTCTTTTAAAGACATTAATGCAGTGTTCTTGTATGATGCATTCTTATGAATAAATGTTTATAAGTTGTAATAAGTAGAAACAATTTAATGATTCACAAAGTTTTAAACAGTTGAAGCATGAGTCACTCAAATCATTCAAACCATATATACTAACTTCCTCAACAAAGTGTTTATATGTAGACCTGCAAATCTTAAAATATTTTTATATGGAATCATGACACTAACTTCATTTATCAAGATAAAGTATAGTAGTCTTTTTTCCACTTAATTTCATTGTACAACAAACCTATGTCTTAAATTTAAAGGCATTAAAAAACAATTTCTTTTCTTTTACTGATCAAAAAGAAAATGTTTAAAATATCAAGATTTTGAATGAGAAAAAATTATATATGTAAATTAATAAAGTCATTATAATTTAAATTAATGTCTGAAAAGGCTTCATGAGCAAAAGTTAAGTGTTTCATAAAAGAAACTTTTGGGGAAATTATCTTTACATTCTAACTAGGGAAGTGGCAAAAAACTGAATCTGTAAGAATTTTTCATGTATAGTTAACAGCACATACTGCAAGACAATTTAAATAATAACAGCAGCTACATACATATATATATATATATATATATATTTATAAGGACACACAAAAGTATGCTATATGCATTAATACAATTGTAAGTGTTCCAGTAAAAATCTCACCATCATTTAGCATGAGTTCAATGTATACTAATTCATAAAAACAAATATTTATAAGTATGTTGATTAGATCCCTGCTTAAGTTGTCACAGTAAAGAAAATGATCCAGTATATCTTGTTTTCATAGCTTGTATACTATACATTATGATGGTAAGCAAACTATTTATTTTTGTAACTGTAACAAAATCATGCATACAATGTGGATTAAGACATTGTCTCATTGTTTGAAATTATACAGTTATGTCTTGGAAGTAGTTTTGTCCAATATAATTTTTAAAACAAAATCATTTAAATAACTTTTTTGTTGCTGTCAAAAATCAAAATCTACTACATTCCTTAAAAAAAAAATGAAAAGCAGGAAACACATAAAATTATAGTAGCTATCCTACACAGAACATGTTTAGCATTGTCAAGTAATTTCCCACAGTTTATTACACATTCAAGTAGTGAGCAAATTAAAAAAAAAAAATCCCAGCCAACAGTTTCCTCAAACATTAGTTAATATTAAAATGTTATACGATCATTTTGGAATGACTGAGCTTTCTCTCATACCAAGAGAGTACCCTGATTAGGGAATTTTCTATGTAACTAAAGAAAATAATAAATGAAAGGCCACTATGCTGGTAATTGGCACACAGAAACGTTCACTTTCAAAACTTTCTGCAAGATTGTTTTGGAGAAGCAAAATAGAAAAATTCTTAGACCATTTGTGGCTAACATATTCCAAGTAATCACAGTCTGTCGAACCATACAATGCAGTCTAGGAGTGAAGAATCATCTACTGGTAAGTCACTGATGATGCAGGAGATCCTGGAGTACTGCTGCTACTACCTTGATGACGTTTGATATAGAGGTTTAGCAGTTTCATCTAGTTGAGAATAAATACATCATTTGTACATCAAATTTTAAAGGCTATTTTTTTTATTCAAACTGTTTATTTTTTAATATCCAGGATAATAAACATCTATATAATTCAAAATATTAACCCATAATGGAGTAAAGTTTACCAAAATACAAATAACAAAATAAAATAAATATTTAGATAACAATTCTGAGATTTCTCTAAACACCATATACCAGTGTCCTATATCTTTAACATGTTCGCTGCCACGTGCCCCATCAGTGGGTCACAACACGACTTTTAGTTATGGACCACGTGATACACTGGTGCGTCACAGACAATTATGTTTCAAAGACAAATTTCCTTGTGGAATATGAGTTTGGAACACATGCTAATAGTCCTCGGCACCTCTTGAATGTTTAATTTTTTTTATACTTAATTTATTATGTGGCAACAAACATGTTAAGATAACATGTTATCCAAACTAAAGCAGCAATTATGTTAATTCCTCTTTCTAGAACACAATATTAAAATTCTACCTTGCTCCCATTAAGTGAAGAAAGATATTGTTTCATAGAATCTCCCACCACACTGTGAATAGCCACCAAACAAAAAACTGCTGCCTTTCTCACTGAGCTTTCCGTGTTATCATAAGCCTAAGGAAGAAACAAGAGAAGAATTCTACTAAAAGAACTATTAATGGAAAACGAGATTCTTAATACATGCAAATACAAAACCACAATTTGAGTTTTTGAGTAATGGTTATAATATATAACTACGTACTTTCCAGATCCACTCCCATATTATCATAAAAGATGTGTGCATAAGGAGATGTTTAACTCTGTATTGTGTGAGAAGTAGATATTAACTTTGAAAAAGAAAAAAAAAGCTTATCTTTTAACTGTGTAAAAAAACAGATGCTTATTAAACTTTGGGACTAACATTTGCTTAACTTTTCTACACTGTGACAGTCAATGTTTAACTTTCTACACTGTGATAGTCAAAGCCTAACTTTATATGCTATGATAGTCAAAGCTCAACTTTATATGCTATGATAGTCAAAGCTCAACTTTATATGCTATGATAGTCAAAGCTCAACTTTGAACTCTTTCACAAGTTAATGCTTAATTTCCTACTGTATGTATGATTAAAATTTGTAACAAACAGATATATAAGTATTTATGCTGTGTAAACTTGAGTATATATATATACATCTTAAAAATTTAAGTCTCAATACTAAACTTTACATTTACAAGCTTTAATTAATACCTTATAATACTTAGGTCATCAACTCGATAACATGCAACACTTACTCTGTGTGACAAGTGAGTACTTAACCTAATTTTATGTGGCACTTAGTGCTTAAAATTAAACACTGGCAGACACTTTTGTACCTAGCTTTAAACCTTGTGATGTGCTCAACCATATGTTCTGTTACATACAGGTGCTAAAAACATGTCAACTTGTGACTGTACTGATGCAGATGAAGAAGAAACGAAACACTTGATAAAAGAGTCTAGATAGGCTATCCATAAAAGTTTCAACATCAAAATCGAATAATCAATTAACAGAAATTATCTTAACTCATAAAATCACATGAGTGTGAAAATTATTTCTTACAAATTTAACTACAATATTTACCTGAACAAGTGCAGGCATCATGTCAGGTAAAAGTTGCAAGATTACATTCTTCTGGTGCTGCTCAGTCAACTACATAAAACAAACATCTATTGGCTTACAATTTCTATTTTAAGGCTACTTTCTCTCTTACTCCCTACTTGTTTTGAGTTGTAATCATTTTAACAATTTAAAATAGAACTAGTTCTTACTTTGTCTATTTAAGATTTGATAAAACATTAAAAAAACACTCTGGGATATGATTTGTTCTTTGTTTTTTAATTCAAGTACAAGCCTATTATTGAAGTATGAAAAATTTTGTAAAATGTGACCAAATTTCGTCTGTATTTTTGAAATAATCTCTCTCTATGTGACTGAACCAAGCTTCTATGCAGTGGAATCAAACTTTTATGTAAATTAATTCAAAATATAGGTCATCTTTACAACTGGCTATTAAACATTCCCGCCAAATTACTAAAATGCTCCAAAAACATAAATGAGAGTTTCTAGAAAATTCAACAATATTACACTTAAAACAATATGTATTATTTCACTAAATAATTTCTTCTATACTTCTATTTGATGTTCTCTACAAATACAAAGGCTTTTCATAAAATTCTTACTCTGAATTTAATCTACACCATTTTCTATTACAAGTATTGTGATGTTTTACTTTACATACATTGTTCAAAACAAACAAAACCCAGTTGTTCAGTCTGATCAATATTTCTTGAACTTTGAGATTTTGTCTTACCTTTGTAAGCATTTTGATAGCTGCCTGGTTGGTTGGATAATCTCCACTTTTTATAATAGGACAAAGTGTCCGAACACACAGTTCTACTGGTAACACTGTAGCTGCTATTTCTGAGCATATCTCTGCTGCTCTCTGAACCTGACATTTGAAAAATATTAACTTCTTTATAATCTAATCATTATCATTCCTCTCTAGATTCAAAACACATTTTTTTCTTCCAAGTTTGTATTTCCTATGTGCTTATATTAAAATCAATAAACTAGATTTTTTAAAGTCTTATTCTTTTTTTAAAAAGGTCTCCCCTTCTATTATTTCTTATTATACTACTGTACATTGGCAAAATATTTTTCTATTTCATGAACTTAGAAAATGTCTTCACATCAAAGTGTTGCTTACTGAAGGCTAGAGAAAGATCAAACTAGCTTTAACTGAACAATTACTTACAATATGAAGAATACTGATTATTACAGTAAAAACTAAAGTTAACTATGGCACAATGAAAATCCCGCCAAATAAAATTGAAAACATGGGGAAACTAACAAAGTTTGTTTTTTTATATTACATGAGGCCTATCTGCGCTAGCCATCCCTACTTTAGCAGTGTAAGACTAGAGAGAAGGGCGAGCATGTTTGGTGAGACGGGGATTCGAATCCCCCAAGCGACCCGCAGATTGTGAGTCGAGCTCCCTAACCACCTGGCCATGCTGGGCCTTTTTATCACTAATGTCAGTTATGATAATACATAAAATCAAATATTATGAAAGTTGTCCTTGTGTTTTCATTGAATTTCTAAGTCATAAAAATTCCCATTTCTCCTTTGATGTCCCACTTTTTTCCCCATAATGATCTGGATTCCCAATTTCATTTAACTGACTTGGATAAGTTTTAAAATCATAATTATTTATTTTTATTCTCAGAATATAAAACTCATCAGCTCAATAATTTTATATATAAAAAATTATTTTCATCATATATTATTCTTTACTCTTGTTGCACAAGTCACAATCTTAAGTTTACAGCTTTGGAGTCAAGAAATATGTGTACAAATTAATCTTAATTTGCATAACAATGTATATTGAATCCTCCAAATTTAACAGCATTGCATGGCTAGAATAGGGGATCTAGTATATATATATAAAAAAAAATTACATATTCACCAGATGAGAAGTTAGGGTATTAGAAATATGGATAAAAATTGTATTTTCTTAAATTTGGTATTATTAAGTTACATTTCATGAAAAATTTTGATTTAAAGTATTATACCTCTTTTTCTGAATCTTTATGAGCTTCCAAGATTTTCAGTATTGTTAATTCTCCAAAGCCATGGAATCGTTGAGCTTGTCTTTTTAATAATTCACAAAGTGATCTCATAGCAAGAGCTCGAACAGAGCCCTGTTTCAACAAACAATAAATCCATGTTATGTACATAAGCTTTTACAAGTTTAAGAATTTTGTAATGAATATCAGAAACACAGTAATACCAAAAAAACATCTATAATTATGGATGTTTCAGAATTCTTTCAAATTATATCAAACAGCAGTGAAATTTTTAAAGTTAATTCACAACATTATAACTGCAGAAAACAACATTAGCTACTAAGTGAGAGATTTTTGATACAATCAAGTTTAGAAACAATATATTTTAATGGTAACAATATAACTGAACGTAAGATAAAGCATGAAGCAGACACGTGTTTAATAATATTGTTCATAGAAAACATTAAAAAGATTTAAAAATAATAATAATTCATAACCTGTTTTTCCAGAGTCAAGAATTTTGAAGTTTTTAAGAAGAATGAAGTGAATGTTATTCTCACTATGCAATCAGATACAAGACTCAGATGGATTAGTTAGCTTATATCAACTTCTAGTTGAAATTCCCATGTGATGTGTAGTTTTACCAATATAGGTAGCTTTACACAGCTACCACAAATGTATTTATATACGACTCACAAGTGCATAGGTATGGATAGTGTGTCTTTGGCTTTAAACATGTTTTGAATTCTAAATGTTGACTTAAATACTAAACACAGTTTAATATGTAATATGTTTTGATTATTCTCTGAATGTGGGACTTGAGTTTAAAACTTTGTTTACCCATGAAAGGAGTGATAAGGACTAGTAGATATTACAAGACAGTGTTTGGCTTTCTGGTTGTTTCTATTTTATTTGTTAAACATGTTTGTGAGGTAGAGTGTAAAATTAAGGGGAGAGCCCTTACTTTGTAATATGTTATGAATTTTGAAAATTTCAAAGTAAAGACAAAAGTAATCAGAACAGATATTATAAGCTCTGTTAAGGAGATTTAGAACAAGGTTACATTTGAGAGTCTGGTAAGAAACTAATGAAATGAGTGTAGAATCCAGTAAATGTTTCTTTACAGTAAACGCATGTGGCAAAGAGATAGTTTAGTTTGATGTCAAAAAAAAAGTAAATTTAGGTATTCTACAAACTTCTTGTCATAAATGGTGTTGTAGAAAAGTATCACAACATATACTCTTGTTTGTAATACAGAAAGCATTTATCCAGCCACTGACACTGACAACAACTGAGAAAAAAATATTTGCAAGATGCAGATCTAGGGATGATCCCATTGTCACTCCATCCATCTGGACATAAAGTTGCTAATATAAATGAAGTGATTGTCTTTAACAGTCAACTTATTATACTCTTCAAGTTCTTTGGTTGGGAATAGCTGCTCAGTAATTCTTTGAATTGTTATCTCAAGTGCAATGTTAGTGAATACGTGTTGTTAGCCATAATAAATTGGTTTGCACTTAAAAAGATATCTCTTGAGCAAAGGCAAAACAACAGTTTTTAACAATAAGTTCGTTCTCAGTTAATGAGCTAAGAGTACAGGTACAAGATGTTCAGCAAGCTTGCAGGCACGAGAACTGAGAGTAGATTGAACAAGACGTAGAAGTAAACTATTTTTATGTATTTTCAGTAAGCCATACATAAGGTTGGAATGGGAACCTGTAAGGTAAAGTTCTGCAAAAGTAATGTCAAAGATGTATAAAAAATTTTTTAAAATGTTATAGTCCATTAGAGCCTTTCCTTACATTTGAGAGTAAACTTAAGCCAGTCATTCTCGTATAAAATGTCTTTCATTTTGGAGGCATAATCAGATCTGTTTGAAATTATGACACCTGTACCTTTATCTGGCTGGAAAACAACAAACTTTCAGTTACTGGAAAATTTGCTTAATTCTGAAAGCTCAGCATGTGTAAGAGAAGAAAGGTTTTTAAGGGATCGAAGGTATAGAATGAGAACAATGCCACATCTTAAAATTTAGCTTTAATGAGGCACTCTATGTTTAATGTGTTATTTTTGTTAAAATTAGGAAAGAGTTCAAGAGTTCTGTAGGTATTTTCAAAAGGAAGAAAGTAATTTGAGAAATGAAGTTTACAGGTAGGTAAACAAAAACTTAAACCTTTTGATAAAGCATTTTTACATTTTAGTGATCTTAACCTAAATAAAAGATGACCTTATTAGAATTTATGCCACTAGATTTTCTCACTGAAATTAGTGTGTTAAAGTTTGACATTCTGGTTAAGCTCAAGTCTGGCAGTGATTTTTAGGGTTAAATTTTCAACCAGATTGGTGAGATGATGATAGTCAATCTACAAAATTTTCATAAGTTCAAGACAGTATGTTGGTTTGTTATCCATTTGTTTTCTTTTTTACAATGATATTTTGAGTAATGGGTGACATTTATAGATAGAACAATCTTTTGTCACCTGGCTCTTTCTTATTCTTTTCAATAGCTGATGACGTTTGAAGGTTTAAAACTGATGACGAAATTTAAAAGAATCCAGAAAGGTCTATAATTAAAGTTTTTTTTGGTATTACCATGTTTTTAATATTTATTATAAAACTTCATTTTACACTCGATAAATAAGCTTAAGTTCTTATGCTACACTAATCCAATTTTTAATATTCCGATACAGAATTACTGCAAAGAATAAAGAGCCGGGTAAACAAAAGGTAATTCTACCTATAAAGGTCACCCATTACTCAATACAAATCCAGCTTAAACATTATAATCAAATTAAAATTAACCTCCCCTTATTTATGAACTTATTCAACAGATATTTGTTAGAGTTCAAATACATAAAACTAGAACCAGAAGAGCTGGAATTGATTACAATAATTGGGAGCCATCAAAATGAAAATTTCCTGAGTAAGTCAAATATGATAACTGTTATCACAGTAAACACCTGAACTAACTCTTAGATGTCCATCACATGATCATATATTGTCAGAGTCACAAAAAAAGTTGTGACATCATAACATCCACTTCTTAAAAATTGTGTGTGATGCACCCCATAAATGTTTTCAAAAAGAAAATCATAACTAAAGTGTTGAGATTTTAAATTTTCTTTTGATATAAGCTTTACTTACATTTGTTTTGTAAGAAATAATTAAAAATAAGATATTTTAGCCTTAACTGTTGACTTTTAGCCTACTGTTGGAATTTTTATTTTGTAGAAGTAAACTTTCCGCCTGCACAGAGTCTTGTGAATAGACGAAACAAAAATGGAAATGCATATAGTTACAACAATTTTCAAGCATACATTGTTAAAAGATTCATTAAAAAAATTCGCCTTTGTGCTGCTAAAAGTGAGCAGGAAGAGTCTTCCATTTTCAAAAAGTGGGCAGGTAATGACCTATTAGGCCCGCCACCTCTGGTGCCTATGATCACTACACTGTTAGGAAAATCATTCTATAAGTTCATAGCTTTAACTATAAAATAATTTTGTTCAAGTCAGCATCTGTGTTACTTTTCAAAGATTAATTCTACTACTCTAATACTCAAGTCATATTTTCAACTACTCCGATCTAAAACACAAATATAAACAGATCTATAGTGGTACTTTTAAGAAACTAAAATTTTAATCACCGTATTGGCCCAATTATAGGGTGATTTTGAATATAAGATGCCCCCATTTTCAGAAACCATGGGAAAGAAAAATTGAGTGTGATAATGTCCTTTTTTTAGGTCTGCAAAATCCATACTATAACTGGACAGCCTGTAGGTGGATTAGTTGCAAGAATTAGTGATGACTTTGAGCAAATATCTGGCATGCACATGTAGACGAATGCTATCTGGACATCCAGGAATGCGACAGGCTAGAGTAGGGGGAAGGGGCCTGTGGCCGGCTGCAATTATAAGCCGACTATGAATTTTACAGCCTAATTATTAATATAAAAAATCATTGCCTTATAGGCAGGCCAATACGGTAAATTGAAATCTTTTTTTCAACTACAATCAAAATATGATTACAACAGTTTGCATCACACAGATTCATACTGAAAATTAAATAAATTTCAAAATGGAAATGTCAAAAAAAATCAAGAATTCCGTTTCCTAGAACACCACATGCAACATATTGTATGAATGTCATCAAGAGAATAAAAAATCTTAGACATTTATGAACCTGAATATACAGTTTTGCAGGAAAGAAGTTAACTTTTTTCTTACATATTTTAGTATGGTAACAATTGTTACAAATATTATTAAATTTTAAGTTTTTAAATTTTATACTTATTTTGATTCCATCCATCACCCATTAAACAAACTGAGAAATATGACGAAATATGGTTGATTTATTGGCATAGCTTAATACGAGCTAGTAGATAAAGGTAATGAAAAGATACTCACTAGTATGTCATACAGCAAAAATAAAGACCCCTTGATTTATACCAGTGCAGTTGCATTAAAGATTATATGGACATGCACAATATCTAAACTACACAACTGCGGAATATTTCTCTAATGTTTAAATATTTTGTCTTCTCTTTGATCATAAAGCTATCTACTGATACTGTTTATAAAAAAAAATTGTATTCTTACATCTGAATCAGCAACTGTCTCGATCAAGAGCCGCAGGACATTTCTAAAATGGTCATCCCACCCTGGATGGTTTTCTTTTACCAGACGTATGAGTCTTGTGAGTGCATGTTTTCTTGGTTCATTTCTGTTGATAAAAAAAACTTTGACATGTTGTGTGATCTTGCTGTGCTATTAATCATTAAATTCAGCTGTTTCAAGTTTTCAACTCAAATTAATTGTATAGTGAAAACAATAAACTAGTTTGAATCTAATATTGTAAACAGTTTTATAGTAGAATTGCTTTTAAGTAGAAAAAAACTATACTGTTTCAGTCCACAGGAGTAGGCCTTCTTTAAGCAATATACATACATTGCCTTTTAAAAGATGTCCTGCTCCTGAAACATTGCAGTTTTAAAAGTTGCTTATCACATTACATTTAATTACACAATGGGATCTTCATCTCTTAATACTGTGCTAGTTTCCTACTTGGTATAGCTCTTTTGCTCATCACTATTGACCCTAAAATGACACGAGTATCAATGTATCATATTTAGTTTTATTTTAAGCAAAATAATGTAAACATTTTTGTTTTCAAATGAAAAGCTAATATCTGTTTTATTTTGACCTATTTGGACTTCCAAAAATTTAATTAAAGGTTAGAAAATATTTAAAAAAACTCTTCTACTTTTTAGCTTTGCCATCAGAGTTATAGTAGTTTCAAAACATATAGTACATATTTTGTATAAAATTGATCTGATACATTTATTAAATGTGCAGTTATTCACCACAGTTTTTAAAAAAAGAAGATTTGAAACACTCATTAACTACCAAAACATACCTGGTATTGCGATTGTTAAGTTCTGTGACAATATTTGAAAAAACAGAATCTGGAAATGAAAAGAATTAAAATTGTGGAAATAACACTTATATTTATGTTAATACACAAATGCTGGCATTCGTTGCTAATAAAAAAAAATACATAAAATTAACTAACAGCTTTCACAAAGTAACAAAATTAAAATTATTACATTAATGGTGATATGGATACTAATTAAATAAAAATAATCACTAGAATATAACTTTGAATCAAAAAACACATTATTGATAAAACATTGTAAAGTACAAGATTCATAACAACTTATTTACACAGATAAACAACATGAAAAAGAAAACTGGTTGTTATAATATTTAAAATATAGAACATTAAGCACGTTTATTCAATTTTTACAGGAACCAGAAATTACATATAACCTTAAAACTAGCTAAAGGATACAATAAAAGTTAATATATTATCAATGTAAGATAATCAACAAAGTTGATATTATTCTATACTACCATCAAAATAATCAGCTATACTTTTGTAGTATAATGTTAACACAACAGTTTCATGTGTACTTTTCAGTCCAGAAAGTCATCTGGAAAGAAATATGGCCACACAGCTTAGGTGGTACTTGACTATAGAATTCTTTTGTGGATAAACATGGTTAGGGAAGAGGTCAGATTGAAATGGTCTTCATAGGTGTCAAAGTTTGGTACACGTTTAATAATAAAGCTTTGAACAATTCTTTGTTTCCTGTAATATTTGATTATATATATCATTTTGGTGGATTTCCAGTTAATAGAGTGGTTAAAGTCTCTTGTAGGGAGATATATTGCACCATGTTAAATATGCAGTGTTAAATTTATTGATAGTCTTGCTATGATACTTAATGAGATTTGGTGGCCTAAAATAATTTATCTTTGCCCAATTAAATGTTAACTTTAAACAGTTAAACTGTAATAAAAAATTAGCTAAATGAACATAATCTCATTTTATATCTGATCATCTGTCAGTATGATATGTAAATAATCTCTCATTTTATATCTGATCATCTGTCAGTATGATATGTAAATGATCTCTCATTTTGTATCTGATCATCTGTCAGTATGATATGTAAATGATCTCTCATTTTGTATCTGATCATCTGTCAGTATGGTATATAAGTAATCTTTGATTTTATATCTGATCATCTGTCAGTATGATATGTAAATAATCACTCATTTTAAGAAGACACAGAACTTAATACCACTTGTATTTTTAGGATGGCAAGAATGGTGTGGATAGAGATGCTCTAGTAGAACCTGGTGTTAATCATGAAAGTGAGATTGAAGATGGTAAGTTGCCTAGATATGTCTAACGCACTGTTACATACGCACCACATAGTTTTTATGGTAAGCTGTAAACAACGAACCATGCCGATACTACTTTGGAGTACAGCAAATTGATATTAAAAGTGATATTAGATATTTATTTACATATCATACTGACGGATGATCAGATATAAAATGAGATTATTTACATATCATACTGACAGATGATCAGATATAAAATGAATGATTATTTACATATACTGACAGATGATCAGATATAAAATGAGAGATTATCTACATATCATACTGATAGATGATCAGATATAAAATGAGAGATTATTTACATATACTGACAGATGATCAGATATAAAATGAATGATTACTTACATATACTGACAGATGATCAGATATAAAATGAAAGATTATTTACGTATCATACTGACAAAAGATCAGATATATGTATTAATGAGTGACATCAGAAGAAAGCATGAAGGGTAAAAAATGTTATCAAAGATTCATCATATGAACAATATCTTAATCATCTTTCCCTTGATTACTTACTTATTTGACCTCAAAAATTAATTCTTAATATTTTATAGCATTGTTGAAAAACAAAATTTTTTTAATAATTTTTTAATATTTTCACAAGTTGATATTGTAGACGAATTGAAAGTCACTAAATTTTAATTTTATGGCTTATAGCTTCAAGAGTTTGTTTAACAGAATTAAATTATAAGTCTTGCAGTACAATCTAAGCAATTACAAAACTTAAGTAAAATAAAATGTTATATCAAAGTGAATCAAAGTTGTGATAAATATTATTTTTACAAACTAATGTTAAATTGTGTCATCTATTATAGAATACAATATAAGAAATATATGTAGCAGCTTATGCAGTGCCAGAAATGTATACACACAAAAAACTAATCATTTTGATAAATGGCTCTGTTCATAAGTATATCAGACTTTATAAACAATACCTCATTGGATGAGTTTTAACATCTTCAAAGACCTGAAAATAAGTTACAAATGTAATCCAATCATAGGTACAATATGTGTTATAAAGTACTGGAAGTGAACCATGTTTAGGAAGAAAGTGTTTGACTTGGTTTATAACAGTTCATTGGAAGTAAGATATTACTTATAACTTCCTTTTTATGCTTGGATATTGGTGATGTATTTAATTCAGCTAGAGATAAAAAATAAACTATTAAAAACCTTAAATTTAAGGTTTAACTTATGTAATTAACATAATTCTAAATTTTGAAAAATATTAATATTCTTCAAAGAAACATTAAAAGCTTAGAAACAGTGATAAATTATCCTTCAATATAAAAATACTGATATAAACTTAGGTAACAATTTCATACAAAACCTGTTCTTTATAATGAGTTGGAGAATATTCAAATGGAGAACATTTAGGAGACTGCATCCTGAAATATTTCAAGCGGTCCTGTACCAAATCTTGCCTTCCATCGGGAACTGAAGATTGACTAATACCAGAGTCCTGTGAAACCGAATCTCTTATCCAGGCATCTTTTATCTTCTGCCTTCCATCTTTACTATTAAAATCTTTCTCATATGTGTCAAGACTATACTTCTGAATTTCTGCTGAGGTCATCTTTAATGAATTGTAAATTTCTTCAGGATTTAGAGACTCAGTGTCTTCATAGCTAAGCAAGTGGTCCTGAGGTGTTCCGGATCTACTCCTGTTATATCTATGCAATGTTTAACAAACAAGAGTGAGGACTGTTTCAATTACATTTATAAAATGCAGTTAAATACCTTATCTTACCAGATAATAAGAACTACTTTCCAATGGAAATTGGGTCAAAAAATTCAGTGGTTTCTGATTGCATTTCTGACTTCATGAAATTACTTATGAGTAGTTTGATTTATTGATCAAAAATAAAAAAAACAAAAGCCTGAAATATATTTGACTTCATAGACTACTGTTTTGATTATTAGGATACTTCACAAAATGTCCAAGCTTTCCTATTATTAACTTATGTTATTGTACTGGTGACAGAAAAATAAAGCACTGAAAGATGTTCAGAACACAACACAGTTTATGATGCACATGTATACAAACTGTAAAACTGCTTTTTCAAATAACAAATCTGACAGTCTCCTGAAAGGCATGTTATGCAGTACATAAACTAAAACCCCATGAATCAGACATAGCCATCCATAATTTTGAACTGTTAACCAGAAGGGGTCAACCAATCAGCAACACCCACTGCTGAGTACTGAAAAATATTTGCACAATGTAATAAACATCAATATATTATGCAACCATGATGTCAAGAAAACATGTAGGTTCAATAAATCATAATATAAAATGATAAAAACCCTGTAACCCGAGCACTTTTGAAAGGTGGACCTTTCTTCTTCAGGGGCAAACTGGGAAACATATTAAACACGTCTAAAGAGACATTTTAAATTTTATTTCTGAAGGTAAATCATACTTCATCAGGTTTATAGTAAACAGTTTATAATGCAATAGCACTAATAACACAACTAAAATAAAAAGCTTGAACAGTAAATGACGTATTCTTATAGTAACTATCATTCCCCTAAATTAATAGTCTGATAGTTTAAAATCTTTAAATCACGTGATAAAGGTTTACTAGTTTTGAATCAACAACAACAACAGGGAATTTGTAATAGTTTATATATTTTCAACCAAAAAAGAAAAAGAGATGAAGTTCCATAAAGAAAAACAAACATTTCAGTTGTGACTGGTGCAGGCCTAAGGCCAAAACATAATACCCATTAAAACATTGTTTTTAAGATTAACAGTTGTCTGACATAGGCCTGAGACTGAAACATAATACCAATTAAAACATTGTTTTTAAGATTAACAGTTGTCTGACATAGGCCTAAGACTGAAACATAATACCAATTAAAACATTG